CCCCAAAACCCCAAAACCCCAAAACCCCAAAACCCCAAAACCCCAAAACCCCAAAACCCCAATTTACAAATAAATTTAATATTTTGCAATGAAAAATTTAAATTCAATTTACCCAGGAATGAAGAGCAAACGTAAATCCTCAGATGGTAGGAAGAAGTCACACTCTAAAGGAAATAATTCGAATGTAGCTGCGACTCCGGACATGATGCTATATGACAATAGTATTAATTATTCTAAGTACAATCCAACATATAAAGACTATTCCTCCTTCACTCGTAAGACAAGTCACAAAGTTGGAGGCAGTGGTATCAATACAAGCAAGCTCACAGGGGGCAAGAAAGGCAGAATCGAGAGAGACAAGTCCAAATAAATCTAAAGGAAATTTCTCACAAAATATGGGTTACCATAAGTTAAGCACGGATGGAAATTATAGTTATGACTATAAAGCAACTAAGCAAGGATACAAAAGAATACATGGTAAAAGCGTTACTGCTAATACTTCCCCTATATCCTCAACTAACAGACCAGGATCTAATAAGAAGCACATGCAGAGCCTGAACCAGAGCAGTATCGGCTTTTCACATTCTCAGCACGTTTCTCCTTCATTATCAAAGTCAAACAAGCTTTATAGACCGAAGAAGGATAAACTTCCTGCTTCTACCACCTATGCCTTGGCTCAGATCGGGAAGAAGACTTATGTAGTCCCAACTTCAGGAGGAAACAGCAATTCTGAGAAGTCAAACAAGCCTTCACTAAAAGGGTCAAATTACAAAGGAAATACTGCTTACAATGATGCATTCGGTTATTGAAAGTACAGCATTCCAGACTCCAAGACTTCAAAACGGAAGGATTCGAAGCATATGAAGAACAGGCTAGACCTTAAAATGATCAATGATTATGAAGAGAAGAAAGCCTTTTCAATGGTCTCTAATATGATCAACAAGAAAGAGTTTGCCGACCCTATGAACATCAGAGGAATTGAGAACAATAACTTGACCAAAGAGAGCCCACTTCCTATCCGAGATGAGAATGGACTGAGGCTGTTACTCCAGCAGAACAAAGTTGGAAAGGGATTCAACCTTGACTATAGTATCATGGATGGAGGTACTGGAGGAGGAAACTCCAAGAGAATGAATAGCTACCTCAAAAATAGATCTTCTAAAAGAAGCAATTCTGAGAATGGTAAAATTAAAAATAAAAGAGGTGGATATAACAAAAAGACCAAAAAGTACTTTGGAAACTCTCAGAAAACAAGTAGGCTCAGTTAGTAATAATTAGGAAAAACCGATAATAGAAGCTACTCAAAGAAGAAATATCAACAACACCCAAATGAGCTTAGGAGAAAAACAAACAGTGTTGAACCTCCAGAAGGAATCATGCCTCATTCACCTCATAGTGCTTCTAAGTACCACCATCGACATCATAAGTCAGTGACTCAGCCAAAACCTACTTTCATGGGAGGTCCGAAGCACAAAACAAAGCATTATGTAATGTCTCAAGGAAACAGTGATTTGAAATATAAACTAGAAAAAGCTAAGAGTAAAGGAAAAGGATTCAGGAGATTCCACAAATCCGATGTGAACTCCTTGGAAAGAGATGACTCTAGTGATTATGACAGAGCAATCGATCAGCCAATGATTTCAAAGGAAATGAGGATCCCCTCTGATGTATATGAGAGCTACAAAAGAAAGAAGTATATTTCATCTGCGGTTGATACTCCCATTTCTAATATGTCCAAGGAGATATCTCCAAACTTTATTTCAAACAACCATTCGAAAATGAGAGCATCAAGCTTATCTAACAAGAACTCTCGTCCAAATTCGACTAAGGAAAGCAAAAAGAGAGCTTCTTCTTCGAATACATCACAGGACAGGAAAAAGCTGAATAGGACAAAGAATTCCTCTAACAGTCATGAAATGTCTGGCCAGATGGATAATTATGCTGTTCAGAAATATTATGACGCAATGAACAACAAGAGTCACCATAAATCTGTTCAGCCCAATAACGGGAATCATAACTATAGTCACATAGGGTGGGAAGGCCCTATATCTTATAGTAAGAAAGGAAGTCTCAATGTTATTGAAGAGTCTCTTAATAAGAGCAAGAAGTCTCTTAGCCATAGTAAAAAGCAGATATTGTTGAAGTCTAGCCAAAAAGATAGCAGTAAAAATTTTAAGAGTAAGAACTCAAATGACAAGGTCAAAGTAATGCACAAGAAAAAGCTGAAAGATCTTGAGATTGAAAAATCCCATGCACCTTTTGAAATGATGCCGAATGGATATTTTGACTATCAGCCAGCTGAGAATAAGAAGTATGATGTTCTAGGGAAGCATAAATAAAGCTAAATCAGGAAGTAAAGAAGTGCACTCTCAACTTGCTAACTACAATGATAAAAAAAGTATTGGGTTTAAAGATTCTATTAAGAATGAGTATGAAGAAATCAAGCCTTCTCAGAAGCCAGGACATCGCAAGGTTGAGTCAAAGCATGAGAATTACATTGAAAAGCTTGATGATAATAGCATTACAGATGAAATTTGAGAAATCAATCATCATGACTTGTTGAATTATATTCCACAGAAGTTGTTCTTTAGCATCGATAAATCAGAGTTTGAGGCTTTGTCACCTCGAAGTAAAGAAATCAATTCGACCATCCTAATAGTAAAGAAGTCATTCAAAGAGTACAATAAGCCCCCTGTTACAACGACCGACTTCTACAAAATTGGTCGGATGCTAGGCAAAGGAGCTTTTGGGAAAGTAAATTTAGGTATGCACAAAGTTGCTAGGAAACTTGTGGCTATCAAATCTATGAACAAAGACTTCCTGAATGATGAGAAATCGAAGAAAAAGTTGATGCAGGAAGTATCAATCATTAAGAGAACCAGACACCCCAATGTAGTCAAGCTCTACGAAACCTTTGAGTCTGAGAAGCATGTTCTATTCTCAATGGAAATGTGCGCAGGTGGAGACCTCCTCAACTATGTCAGGAAGAGAAGGAAACTCAAAGAGCCAGTAGCCAAAATCCTGTTCAAGCAAATCATCGAGGCTATTGGCTATATTCACACCAGAAGTATTGTGCACAGAGATATAAAGCTGGACAACATTCTGCTTGACGGTAAAGGAAATGTCAAGATCGGAGATTTTGGGGTTTCGAGGATATACAGAGAAGGACAAATCATGAAGGAACAGTGAGGTACTCCTGCCTATATTGCTCCTGAGATCCTACAAGATAGAGGCTACAAAGAGTTTGGAGTAGACATCTGGAGCGCTGGTGTTGTCCTCTATTCTATGTTGTATGGCAGTGTTCCCTTCAAAGCCAATAATATGGAAGAGCTGCATACAATGATTTTGAGTGCAAAGTATACACTTAAAGAAGATATTACTGAAGAGGCAAGGAATTTGTTGAGAGGCATGCTTGAGAAGAATCCTAAGAAGAGGCTCAAGGTTCCTCAAATTTTGAAACATGAGTGGTTCAAAGATATTGACAAGTCTATCTCTATTTTCAATGATCAGGAAAAATCCCAGATCAAGAAAGAATTTACTTATAATGAAGCTAGAAGGATTCAAAGAAAAGATGATGAGCTTGAAGCTGCAGATTGATTCACCGAACTGGACATTGACACTTCAAGGAACACAGAGCTTAAGAATGTATCAACAAAGTCAATTATTCTTGCCCCATTTACCTCTACAAAGAGCCATGTCTCTAGTCTTCATGATAGTGTGAAGGAACTGATGAAGGACAAGAATAGAATAATCAAGTTTGCAGCTAGGTGTAGAGAAACAGACAGGCAGTACGAAATCAACAACTGATGGGAGCTTGATAATGGAGTTTATAATAAGTTTGTATACAACGAAAATGAAGATTCCAAAGGTGGCGATAATATCTCTGAATCATCTCAAACAGATCGATCAAATTTAGGTAAGAAAAAGAAAAAATCTAAGAAGCCTCAAGGAGCTGATGCCTTTTTGAATGATTCCCTTGAATCCTCCTTCAAGGATTCTACTCTTAAAAGCATGGAGGAAGACCAGAAGAGAAGACAAGAAAACCAGTTCTTCTCTGATGAAGAGGAAGAAGAGGAGGAAGATCATGTCAAAAGAATGAAAGAACTCCTCTGAGCAAACAAGTCTGAAGACAAAGATCTTGAGAAGTCTGACACAACCTCTACTCATTACAATTTTGTTCTCGACGAGGGCATTGTAAAAGCTACTTGTCAGTTTGGATATCCAAGAGAGTATGTCATTAAATGATTAGAGAGCAATGAAGCCAATTACTGCACAGCTGCATATTACTTACTTGGCACCGATCAGGACTACAGCACGTAGATAATGTTTGAAACCTAAGTTTTAAGCCTAATTAGCCCATTTTGATTTTAAATAAGTTTAAAGGGGTTTTGGGGTTTTGGGGTTTTGGGGTTTTGGGGTTTTGGGGTTTTGGGG